AATCATTACCAATATATGATTTTTTTCAGCCAACCCTAGCCTATAATTTGAGATATGGCATAATATCTCTGCCATAGGAATCTATGGTAAAAGCATTATAATACTGACAAAATGGCAACTATCAACTAAAATACAACAACCATTTTCCTGAAAAATATGCTGGTGACCCTTAACTATCTTTATATTGCCCTGGAGTACATTTTAGTGCAAAATGAATAAATTCTGGGTATTTTCATTTATGAGTAGGCTTCTACCTTAAATTTAAACGTGACAATATCATTATGCTAAAGAAACTCCTTGTTTAATAGTACGTACCATATGTGAGAAAGGTGGGGGAGAGGTACTGGGCAAAGCAGATGGTGTTGACCAGAATGATGTACTTCCACATGAAGAACAACGACTACTCAGAGGTGATGGAGGGGTAAACGGTATGCTACTGCTATGGTGACCTGCAAGACAAATAGATATACTTAAGGTGAACATGAAAATCACATGATAAAGTATGGATTCTGTTTAGTTAAAACATCACCTGTTGACATCCATTGATTTTAATGTCTGTGAAGGCTTTCAGCATGAGTGTTATGTGTTAACTAACTCTCTTTTTGTAACTGGATTATCAAACATTTCAGATCAAAATATAATTGGCATTGCTGTATAAAAGCACCACAGTTGCTAAGCCGCATCATTTGGAGAAGGGACCTTTGCAACTTATATAATGCGAAAATAAATTGTTTACATAAACTCTACTATGTACTGCCACCAATAACATTAAATTTACATTCACAAAACCTTCAATTATGATTGGGAAGGTAGTCATTCATCGTATCGTATCAAATTAAATAGACATCAAAATGAGACTGATTCACACATCTGTGTCAGAGCAGTGATTTAGGCTTACTGAAAAGGTATATTATAAGAATTTAGGTAACAAGTAATACAGAAGAAATATGATAGGTTTCCATAGAACACATAGGATACAAAGCCTGTCTTTACAAAGCATAGAGAGTACACAAAGATAGCATGGATGAGAAAAGAACCGATTATAAAAAAAGCAAATCAATCAAGGAAGCTACAGATCTTGGGAGATTTACAAATGCAAATGGTATTGGCAAAGAAAGGAAAGGAAAATACTACTAACATTACAGCTGCTCACGAAGGCAATGATTTCCGTCTTATTAAATTTCAACATCTAACACAAAAAGGTTTTACATAAAGTTTAGAAAATTGTATACATACACCTTGCCAATAATTAACCCCTTCTAGTATTTTTGATGTCAATATGATGTGGATGGGTGAATCAATGCCAGTGTTTGAACTTCGGGGTTAAGAAAGAACACTTTTTCAAAATCAATTTAGGTAAAATTGCCACAGCCTGTAAAACGAGTATAGCTGTAATCTATTTTTTGAAGGGCACAAAGACACTCTTTAGACATTGAGGAAATTACTTTTGAAGCCGTTGTGAAGTTCAAGCTATGTAACGTTTAGCTCAGTTTGATTGAGTAGTTCAATTCAAATTCCGGACGACACCAGATTGAAATAATATCAATGTATTGAATGTAGTCTCTTTTAAAACACCCATTTACAGCACAAAAGCGATTCAACGAATAAAAGACCTGAAGGAAAGGTGTATTGGGTATCTTGTTTTGTTTTGTTTTTGGAAAAAGTCTGAAAAGTCTAGTCCTTATTTCTGACAGGAGGTTCAGTGCCTTTGTTCTTTAGCAAGAAAAAAAAAATAAGCGGATATTTTTTAATCATACGGAGAAAAAAAGCTTATAAAAACGTTGCACTGAACTGAACATAATATAAGCACACAAGATAAATCATTGGATTTATCATGCTTGTAACAGGATTATTTTGAGTAATAATTCTTACCACTATTGTTACTTGTTGGGGTTGCGGTATTGACTACGTGAGCAACATTTAAGGGAAGAATAGAAAGAACTGGAAGGTGGAAAACTGGAAAAAACATCAGTCAGTTGCAGATGTTAGACAACAAAATAGGCTATCTATTACAATCAGGAAGTCATCACAAACATATTGGGTTTAGTTATTCAACATACATATAAATTTATACCCCAGACCATTCGTCCCGGTGTTATCGCTATCGCCACACGAGACTCCAGCTTGTCTCCTATACAATTTGACTGCGCACATCCAGAAAGTAGATGTAGCTGTGATTGGTGGAATACTAATGAGTTGAGTGTCAATCAAACGCCCACGCTATCTTTAGTAAACAAAGTCACGTGACACGCGCCATTTTAGTTTTGATTAGTTCGTCGGATCGGAGTGTCGGTGCTCGCCATCCATAAATCAAATCAAAATGATTTCTAATTGGAAATGGCATATTTTCATCAAACTCCTTTTCAACATCATGGTTGTTAATGTCCGTCACA